GCAGCCGCCATCATCGCGTGCGTCTCTTCGCATGGCAGCTCGGGGATCTCGTTATCCTGCGGAGGGTGTTCCTCCTCCTCCTCCTCATCCCCCTCGCGATTTCTCAGCTCGTTGAAGGGTTAGGGGGCGCCTTTCCAGATTCCTGGCGCAATGCCAGACCACAGCATGTTTGGGAAACCGTGAGCTCACGCCGTCCAAGCATTATGTGCCTCGACATCGTCATGATCAGGAATTGGACCCCGAGTGGCCCTCATTCCCGTCGTCCTTTTGGCGATCCCAGTGCGCAAACATGATGCGCAGCTGGCGGCTCTGAAGGCACCTCAGGTCGGAATTCTTCAATGCGAGGCCCCCCTCATCTCCCCAAGCTTCTCTGGCCCCAGGGGCCCGACCAACGCGAGCACCACCCTCCTTCCCTTTCGTTTCCTGGGCCCCATTGGCCCGAACAGCACGATATCATTCCCGAGATCCTCTTCTTCTCAGGCATTGTTCGGGTACCCCGATCCACACCTAGCACCCCATGCTCTCCTCGCGTTTTTCCGACCCGAGAGGTCCGAACAGCACAGCCACCTGGGGTTGTTATGTGTCCAGGGGTCCGACCAGCACGATGTTCTACCCCTCCCCTCCTTTCAAGTTAGCCCCTCCTCTTCTATCCTCTCCTCGATCTCCTTCAGGGGTCCGATGTCCCTTTCCTCCACTCGCGAACGCGATGTCTGACACAACCCCTTCCCCAAAGCCCGTTCGGGCAGAGGCTCCAGGCCCCGCGAAACCCCTCGCCGCGATGCCCGACGCCGACCCTTCACAACAACACCCCGACCTCGTTCAATTTGTTCGGGCATCAGGTCCCATCAACACGAGCACCCCCCCTTCCCTTGCATTTTCCTGGCCCCAGCGAATCAACGCGATTGCATGTGTGTTCCTCCTTACGCTTCCTGACCCTAGGAGTCCGAACAAATTTTCGCCCCCCCCCCCCCCCTGCAGTTTGTCTGACGTCCAGGGCTCCGAAATCGCGAACGTCACCCCTTCTCATTGGTTTATCGTGGGCCCCAGGGGTCCGATGAGATGGATTATTTGGGCGGCGGTGTGGGGTGGATCCTCGAGTGATCTCCACCTCGCCCCTATCCTCTTTATCCTTCTCCTCCTCATGGGCGGCTTGATGGCGTCCACCATCGTCTTCGGGGGGAAGCGGCCCTTCTCCAACTTGTATTTCTCGCGCAACACCGAGCCGAACGCGAGCTGCCACGCCGCCTGCGGGGATATGGAGGAGCACGTGCAAAAGGCGAAGGGACAGAGGGATAGAATAAGCAGAACACGTGGATACATCAGGAGCTACAGACATGCAACTGGGCCTCCACCGATCTTTCCCTCATCGATCCTCCGACCCTTCCCTAGCTCATAGAGCCTCCATCCTCCGATCCGCCCCTCATCGATCCTCCGAGATCCTTCCTTCATCGAGCCTCCTCGTGATCGCATCTAGCGCCTCATCCGATCCTTCCCTCATGGATCGCCGCGCCTCCATCGCATTCTGGCTGAGGCGCTCTCCATTGGTGACGTTGTTGATCGCCTCCAGGGTCGGCGCGAATGCCTCCCCTTCACGCGTTCCCACGGGCGCGGATCGAGGAACAGAATCGAGACAGTACAGTCGGGGCGTTGACCTAAGGAACCCTAAATAAGGAACGAGGCCCCTGTTCCCATACGTTCATCCTCGGCTTCCCCTGGAAAGCCTCAGGAAAACCCGACGCAAACTGTGAAACATTCCAGGAACACCGAGCCCCTCCCCAACGAAAAGGATTCATTCTTCAGCGCCCCGACTGTATGAAGATAATGACCTATAGGCAGGGGGCACGGTGGGCTACCTAGCATCTCTTGTGGACCCTTCTCCCGATCGAATCGCTCGACCTTCGCCCGCCCCATGCAGATCGCCCCTCTCGATCCTCGGGGCAGGATGCACCCCTCCCCTCCTTCAGCGCTGCGTAGCAAGGGCGGTCACCACTCTTCTGGCACGGGTAGCTTCCGAAGCCGGGGATCGTCGGATGTCCTCGCGGCGGTGTGAGGGCGAGGCTCAAGGTTGAGATTCGGTAGGCCTCAGATGGCAGGCGTTTGCGATGAGGAGAGTACGGTTTCAATGGCGATGCAGCTGGGGGCCGATGCGGCGGCAAAGAGGGATGATACAGTCCCCAGAAGAGGCAAACGGAGGAAGCGGACCAAGAGGACGATGGACGAGCAGGATACCGATGCAGAAAAGGATCTAAGTCGCGTCGTCGTCTGAACCGACGTCGCCCGAAACGTCGCTACCGTTATCATTGATGAGGAATTGCGTCGCCATGGCAACCACCGTCAGCATCATGATCATTAGTATCGCTGTCGGTGATCACCATCGGCATCATCATCGCCATCGCCATCACCGTTCTCCATCACCCTCATCATCGTAGTAATCGTCGCCACGGTTAGCATCAGCGTCGACGATATCGGCGTCAGTCGTCGAATGCGCGGCGCTAGCTCCTGCCAAGCACAACTGGCCGATCGTGTCCGTCTGGGCATGCAGCGCCCCGGGATGCGGTGCGGAGGTGAGGAACGCGAGAGGCAGATGCATGGGTCCTCATCCTCATCCCTCATCCTCATCCCTCGTCCTCATCCTCATTCTCATCCTCGCCCCTCCTCGTCCTTATCCTCGTCCTCATCCTCAACCTCGCCCCCCCCCTCATCCTCGTCCTCATCCCCATCTGCATCCCCCTCCTCATCGTCGAGCCCGATCGCCAATCCTGGTCCTCATCCTCATCCTCATCCTTATCCTGTCCGTGCTCGTCCTCATCGTTCCCCGACCCATGTGCCTCGGGCTGAACTAATCCTAGAAACTCTGCCTATCGGAATTCTCATGTCCTCCTCGAGCTCCTACTCCTGGCCCCCTCCCTACTGCGCCTGCGCGGCGAGCGCTGGTTCGCCCACCCACGTTTTCGGGTTCACGAGCTTGCGCGTCATGGCCTCGAGGGAAGGCCGATCCTTTCCTTCCCGCTCCTTCTCCTCCTGAGGAGCTCCTGCCCTCTCGACCTCTGGATCTCTCCTGCTCTCTCGACCTCATGCCTCTCGACCCTTTCCCGCTCAGGGCGTCGGCGGATCCTGCCAACAACGATCGACGATCGATGACAACGAAGCGTCGCGAGCTCGCGACGCTTCGTTGTCATCGATCGTCGTCATCGTATTTTGTTGGCAGGATCCGGGGCCCAAGCTGGAATCCAACACGGTGCGGGTGCGTGACCCTGCTTGCTTGCCCGAGCCCCGCCTTGTCTGATCCTTCCATGCGTTGCGCGCGCGACCGCGGGCTGGGCGCCCTCGGGCCAAGCCGCGCGGAGCGCGCGCGCGAGCTCGCGCGCGAGCATGGGTCGAAGGGCTCAAGAAACGAGGAGGCGGACGAGGAGAAGGGGGGGAGCAGGAAGGGGAGGAGAAGGGGGAGGAGCAGGAGGAGGAGGACGAGGAGGAGGAGAAACAAAGCACGATGATGATGATGAGGAGGAGGAGGGGAAGGAGGAGAGGACTTGCGCATATCCTGACAACGCAAGGAAGGGAAAGAAACGCCGAGCCGAGCCGAGCTAATTGGCCGGCGGTCTCCTGATCGCAGAGTGAGTCATAAGAATTCTTTTGCCGACTCGAAAACCCAAGTGTTAAAACCCACTCATTAATTTTTTCATTATGTGATTGAATGCGGCGTCAATGTAGGATTATAAGTTTTAAAAAAAATTACTGCAGCATGCGTAGATTTCTATCAAGCGGGTGATGTTAACTCGAAAACCACATGTTGAAAACCCAATGCAAAACTTCATTCTCTGAACAGAAGAGGCGGTCATCTGAATGTGGAATATGCAAAACGCATATACACCACGCAGAGCGCGCGGGCGGGTCACCCGCGCGCGCGCCGCCCTCCACGCGTATGTACATTTTGATACAACGGGGGCGATGTTAACTCGAAAACCCAATGGCGAAAACCCAATGTAAAAATTCATTCTCCGATCGGAAGAGGCGATCATCTGAATGTGGAATATACAAAACGCATATACACCATGCAGCGCGCGCGCGGGCGGGTCACCCGCGCGCGCGCCGCCCTCCACGCGCATGTAAATGTTGATACAACAGGGGCGATGTTAACTCGAAAACCCAATGGTGAAAACCCAATGTAAAACTTCATTCTCTGATCTCATCAATGTGGAATATACAATTCGCATATACACCATGCAGCGCGCGCGCCGCCCTCCGCGCCCTCGTATACATATTGATATACAACAGGAGCGATGTTAACTCGAAAACCCAATGGTGAAAACCCAATGCAAAAATTCATTCTCTGATCGGAAGAGGCGATCATCTGAATGTGGAATATACAAAACGCATATACACCATGCAGCGCGCGCGCGGGCGGGTCACCCGCGCGCGCGCCGCCCTCCACGCGCATGTACATTTTGATATACAACAGGGGCGATGTTAACTCGAAAACCCAATGGTGAAAACCCAATGTAAAACTTCATTCTCTGATCTCATCTGAATGTGGAATATACAAATTCGAATATACACCATGCAGCGCGCGCGCCGCCCTCCGCGCCCTCGTATACATATGGATATACAACGGGAGCGATGTTAACTCGAAAACCCAATGGTGAAAACCCAATGTAAACATTCATTCTCTGATCGGAACGGGCGATTATCTGAACGTGGAATGCACATGCGCCAACATAATGCGGCGGCATCGGATCATTGCCCATGCGGCCGTTCAACGCGCGATCCAACAAAAAAACAAGACATACGCAACAACAACCAGACATGATACAAAACATAATACTATTTTTTAAGAAAAAAAAACAAGACATGCCAAAACACAAGACAACGTCAACAACATCACAGCATGGCGCGGTTTTCAAGACAAAACAGCAGTCTTGAAAACATTGCAGCTGGAGGATGTCAGGGTAGACCTCGCCCTCGCCGGACTTCAGCGCGGGCGGCCCGGACTCTCCAGCGACCCCCCCGGCAGCGGGGGTGGGCAGCAGCGCAGCGGCCGACTCGCTCTGGGTCGTGGCGCACGCAACCCAGGCGTTGAGGTCCTCGTCCTCCTCCTCGCCAGTGTCGATCGCGTTCCCCTCCTGAGCCATCCTCGCCAGCGGTGGAGGGGGGGCGGCGCCAGGGCGCCGTGGCGGGCGGCCTCGGCGAGGTAGCCAGCAAGAGCCTCGTCCTCCGAGGCGCAGCGGCGCAGGCGGTCGCCGCGGAAGGAGCGGTGCCCGCCGATCCGCCTGGCGATGGCTCCCCAAGCACGCCGCGCGCCGCAATGGGCCCCCGCGAGATCCGGGGCCGCTGGGCACTCAGCGCGCGCCGCTCGGGGCGCGCGGGGCGGGGCGGCCAGGGGCGGGCGGGGCGCCGGCTCCTCGGGCCCCGTCTGCGCACCCGCGTCCCGGGTCGCCGGGCCCGCGCTGGGGGCCGCGCCAGCCGGCGAGCCGCCGGCCCCGCAAGGGGCCAGGTGCACGTTGACGGTCTGCACCGCGGGCCCAGGCGCCGCGCTGCTCAGCGCGGCGTCGGCCCCAGCAAAAGAGGCGGCAGGCGCGCGCCGGCTGCGCGCGGACGCCGCAGCCGCCGAGAGCGAGGCCAGCATCCACTGGAGGGTGCGCGAGGGAACGGGCGCGAGAGGGCGCCCGCCGAATGAGAGCTTGAAGCCAGAGCCCCCGCGCGTCGAGGAATCACTGCAATCATCCCTCTCTCCCTGCCCTCTTCCTCGCCCTCCTCCTCCCCCCCCCTCCTCCTCCTCCTCCTCCTTTTCCTCCTTCTCCCCCTCCCCCTCCTCCTCCTCGCCCCCCCCCCCCACGCTGCCTCCTCTTCGTCCCGATCCCGCCCCGTTCCCCCTGCCTTTCGCCCGTCTCCTATTCCTCCTCTCGCGCGCGCCCTTTCGCCTTCGTTTCCCCCCGCCGCCGCCCCCCCCCCCCCCCCCCCCCCCCCCCCCCCCCCCTCACCCCTTCGTCATGCCCCCCCCCCCCTCCCTCGCCCCCCCCCCCCACCCTTCCCCACCCCCCCCCCTCCCCCCTCCTCCTCCGCCTCCGCCACCGCCTCCGCCCCTCCCCCTCTCCTCCATTTCCTCCTCCTCCCCCCCCCCCTCCCCCCCCTCCCCCCCTCCTCCTCCTCTATCTCCCCATCCCTTATCCTCCTTTTTCTCGCTCGTGTTTCTGTAATATTCCACCTGCGAAGTGCCCGTTCGCAAATGGATTTTCGGTTGATTTGCACGCGCGCGCGGGAAGCCCGCGGCCGCGCGGATCCACGTGCAAATGCACGTTATGGCGCCCCTTCCCCTCTCGCAATTTTGCCCACTGCGCTCGCCCGCGAACGCGCTGGGCATCGGATGCCACAGCCGCTTCGCGGCGGGGCTTCCCGCGCATTCAGACTTCCATTGCTTGCGCCCTGATCGCGGCCGCAAGTCGGGGGGCGCGGGCGTCGCGCCTGCATCGCCGACTGTTATGATGAAAGGTTTACTATGACACGCGCATCCCGTTAAATGGCATTAAAACGGACTGACCGTTCAAAAATACGGCGCACGCCGTAAGCAAAATCTGGCCCAGCGCTGAATTCAACTTACACACCGCACACGCATGGCCAACGCTCAACGGCATTTCGATGGCGCGTGCGTGAGCGCCGCGAGATGCAACTGCGCTGACATGCGCCTGGTACATCGCGATTCAAGTATAGTGTGCGTGTGTAAATGTTACAAACTATCCGAGCGTCATGTGCCCAAGGAGCAAGGCAACGCAACGCGCATGCCGCCGCAGCAGCAAACACATCCGGCGATAATGCAGCTTTTTCGGCGACAAGCAAATTCAACTGGCGCAAGAAAGGGCGGCCGGCGACATATCGGGCAACAAGAATCATCCGGTGCAAATTCCCCACCCGCAGGCACCCCTAGGAATTGAACAAGAAGACGGTTCGTCTTCACAATACCGCTTGCGTTCATATGAAGGTAGTTCTCATGCAAGAAGGCCACTCGCCCTCGGACTTTTATTCTACAAAAGCGGCATGGGCCGCAAGTGTTCTTGATTACTTTTAACAGAGAATCGCCAACTCTACGCGCCGTCGTCGTCGCCGTGCCATTCATCGTGAATTGGCGACGCTCGTTATTGTCATCGCCAGTGTTCATGCCCATCAGCTGAGGAGAATAAAAAGATACCACTGCGCGCCGCAGGAAGCCGAAACCTCGCCACCACGACTGGGCTTGCGTTGAAAATATTGTCGAAACATGCCCGGCGGGATGGTCAGAAGGCAAAAACCTTTCTTTCGGCGTGAAATTGTTCTCCGCCATTCCATGCGTCTTCTCCTTTTCCAGCCGCGGCAGCGCATCCGTTGTCAGGGCGGCCGAGGGTCGCCTCGCGAGAGCCCGAGCGAAAAAATTGCGCCGCGCCTCCAGCGCGGCGGGGCCGGCGCCGGACGCCGCCCAGAAATGAAGGAGTCAGGAATCATTCGGCGAAGCTGCATGACAGGACTCGAAGATGAGTGGCCGCTTGAAGACATCCAAACAAGCGCGCGAAGCGAGAAGGAAAAAAGGAACAGGAGCGCTCGGGACCTGGATGGCCGCGTTCGCGGAGGCAGCGCTCGCCCTTGAATCCGGGCCCTTTTGCCGCGAAGCCGACGATTGAACAGTCGGGCAGAGCGCGCGTCCTATGCTCCTCTCTCGCGTCCGGCCCCGTGCCAATGCTGTCCAATATCTCATTCCCATCGGCGCACTTCCAGCGCCTCGGGCCCCCCGGAGGGCGCGCGGCAACAGGGTCGGGCGCAGGCGGGCGCGCGCCGCCAAGATCAGGCATAAGCACCGGCGAAAATCAATCCAGCAGATATTGTAACAGAATCCAATTCTGATGAGGATAGCTCCAAAATGTTATGATGTCAAAGAGGCCAAGCCAAAATCTCTGGCGCTGGCGGCGAGTAAGCGGCGATGGGCCGATTCCGAAAGCGATGCTTGTCGTCTTTAGCCTGGTAGACGCCTAGACGCGCCTTCGAGCGCTACATAGACCAAATATGCGCGGCTCATGGCAGGGGGCGAAAGGTTAGACCGCAAGTTCAACACCCGCGTTAAAGAAGCACGCCGTGCACATTCTTGGCCGTCTTTGGAGGTCCAGCTGCCGATCGAGAACGTGATACTTCATACTTCGAACGCCATCAGCTACCTAATTCATCCGATTGACAACGGCACATTGCAGACCAGCGCAATGAGACAGCTGGGCGTTGCGCCCGGCGGCGCACCCAACCTGCATCGCGCCGTCGGCGCGACCAACCTGGCGAGCTGGCTCGCGAACCGATGGCGCGACCCGCGTGTCGGGCGCATCGACAGTCCTGACTCCTGTACGCAGGCACTCACAATCCGTGGTCGATCAACCCAACCCACCGGAGGGGGCCTGGCAAAGTTGTTTCGCAATAAATTCAAGAATTGCTCGGCGCTGGGATCGCGCAGCACTGTCGCCCGCACTCAGATTCCCGCGTGCAGAGATAGGCGCCCTTACCCCAAGCGGGCGGCACTGACGGGCTGTTCCCTGGTCGACGAATTTGCATACGCTAGTAACTACAAAGGCCAGTGGGCCCCGAACGTCATTGCATGTAACGCAGTCGGCAACGCGGTAGAAACGATGTTGCGAGGCATCAAAGATATCTCTGGCCTGGGGGCCGCCAGTCTGATAACCTCATTAACTCCGCATGCCGAGCCGCCGCGAGTGGTACGCCAGCCGGACGTCGGCGTCGCCGTCGCTGCGTTTCTCCACGCCTGCGCGACAGACTTCCAAAGGTGGCTGCCCGCCATCGAGTTCCTTCTCTCTCCTCCTCGTTCTCGTCCCAAGCTGGCTGCCTGGCAGCGCTCCCATGGTGGCCGTTAGCCACCGCGCGCTCTGCCGCCTCCGCAAAGAAAAAGCATGTCCACCGAGGCCGTTCGCAAAGCCTCCGTCTGCGCGGCGCGCGCTGGCGCAGCGGTTGCCGCTGGCGCTGTGGCGCCTGAAGAAGTAGTAGGAAAGTTAGGGGCAGAAGGAGGAGGAGGAGGAAGAGGAGGAGGAGGAGGAGGAGGCAAAGGGGGGGAGGGAGGAAGAGGAGGAAACATCTACACCGTCAGCGTTGATCGATATATATATATATATATATATGTATTAGTTGTTGTGTGCTCATTGGCTGCACAATACCACATACAAATCGAACGATAACGGGGCTCAATATGCTGCTCAAAATCTAACATGGCGCCCTTTTCCACGTGACGAAATTAATACGTGTTTCGGGCGCAGGAGGGTCAGAAGGAGGAGGGGGGATATGACAAGGAGAAGGAGGACGATCAGGAACACAAGTGGAGGAGGAGGAGGAGGAGGAGGAGGAGGAGGAGGAGGAGGAGGAGGAGGAGGAGGGGGAGAAGGAGGAGGAGGGGGCATTTATGTAATCAGCGTTTATGTTGCTTTCTCTATGTTCTTTGGCCGCGCAGTGCCACGGGCCCCACAAACGATGCTGGGAGGCAGAATGTTCCTCCGCATCTAAAAAAAGACCCCTTGCAACATGAAAGCTGTTGAGTGTTGGGGCGGTCCTCCATGTTTCATTATTCTGTAGTGCGACCCGCAGATCTACGACAGACTTCGATCACTCATTGTCCAATGCAACCAACCGAACATTACGTAGCATTTGGCTCAAGCTACAAACCACCCAACTAAGCCAACTGCTTGTTGGCGCCAGCGCTAGCTGACGGCAGAGATGGGCTAAAGAAGAACTGGCGTCGCTGTCTAATCGCGTGGAGGTTCTTGGGGCACAAATCCAAGAACAACGACTTAGGATTGCGAGCTTCATAGAACAACTACAGCATCAGACCGGCCAGAAGGAACACGCGACCGCACCATATGCTAGATTCTACGACTACGGACGCTCAGCGCGTGGAAAGAACTGTTCAGGTGCACGGGGGTTCAGCATGCGTCAAGCACGCACTTTTGCACGGCAAATGAAATTCCTACGCGCGCTTGAAATACAACGACCGCTTGAGCGTAGTCCGTAAATGCGGGCAAAACAAGCGGCACCAGATGGCGTGGCAGTGGGCGCTACTAGACATCTATAGTGTATCAATCGTTCTGTGCGCTAGGTATTGGACAATCGCGAGGTGAATGTTAAACATGCGGTTTCTGGCCGTCGTTCTGCCGACACGCCGTCGGCAGATCCTCGAGGTGGCTGTTCGCCATCACCTAGTCTCAGCGCCGCCTGCGCATTTACAGAACATATGGTTTCTCACCATCACTCCTGCAAAGCGCAAGCGTCGTCGAACCCAGCAGAGGACCCGCCGGGGCCGATCGCGATCCCGCAGCTTTTGCTGAGCTCATACTGAAAGCGGTTCTTACAGGCATCGCGGCACTTGTAGCTGCAATTGGACGTGGAACCTATTCCGGCACATAAGCTATTATTTTGCTCTTCGCCATGAAGAGAAGCCTTTTGTCTACCGCCACAAAAAAATCCTTTGTGCTCCGCCACTACTTGAATACGTTTGCCATCCGCCACGCAGGGAATCGTTTCGTATTCGGTCACAAACGGAATCCTTCCGTAATCCGCCACAAAAGAAATCGTCTTGCATTCCGCAACAAAGAGGACCCGATTGAAAGTGATTGGGTAACT